CTAGTTTTTCAAACACGCAGGTCAATATAGAAAAGTCTTTTTAAAAGGAATAAACATGTAAAATAGGAAGACCCCTACACTAACTATTCAGAAATTGTTTAAGGTTATTATTTTTTCAAGAGTACGTCAAATTCTAAAGTCAAGGTCAGGAGATCAAAAATGCTTATATTAAAAATAATTGACACAAGGAACACACCTGTAAAATATTAAAGAAAACCACATGATGACACACCATTTAAATGATTTTTTTTTCAAAAAGTAGTTGAAAGGTCAAAGTCAAGGGTTATGAATATTGGAGATCTTCATACAAGTCATGAAAATGTGGAATATGAAAACCCTTTTACCAACCGTTCCAAAGGCATGGCCAAGGTAGATATTGCTTTAAATTCGTCTGAAGTACGTTGTAGGTTAAACCTCATGTTGAAGGTCATAAGGTTAAATATATTTCTACCAAATCGAAATTACGCTGCCTACCGACATTTAAAGTATTAAATTTATACCCTCCACGTGATCTTCTGACCACATATCAAATCAATACCCCTTCCATCCAAGTGCGCTACTGTCCAAATAGCAAATTTAATGTGTTGTTTTCATTTGAAAGGAGCCTAATAACTCACGTCAAAGAAGCATCCTTAACAAAAAAGTACTCTTTTTAAATATTCTTAGATAGATAAATTTTACATGCACTATAGCTTACTATGGTATTAAAGTTTTCACTATATATTTAAGTTATAATATAGTATATCAAAGTACTTTACTATGGATTTCAGATTGTTAGATTTCATATTTTTCAAATTCATGCTTGTATTTTTTTTATGTATATTAAATGAAGATTTTAAGTGTATGTTTCACGTATTATTTCAAAATTTTTCATCATTGTTATTGGGGCATAAATTAATTATAGTTGCGTTCTTTTTCATTGCAAACAAGCTGTAAATTTGTAGGGTATTTTCCAAATCCTATTTTAAACTTTTCGATTGAAGTCCATGAAATTCAATACAGGTAAAAATATATAAAAAAAAATCTCGTAATTATTGTTCCGTTATCTTCGCTACGACTGTAGTACTGTTGGGTATTGTCCAAATGCAATTTTTAACTTTTCGATTAAATTTTACGAAATTCAATATTTAAAAAAAAATGTCATAATTATTGATCCGTTATCTTCACTACGGCTATAGTTCTGTTGAGTGATTACCAAATCCAATTTTTAACTTTTCGATTTGAAACTCAATATTTTTAAAACATTGTCGTCATTATTGTTCCGTTATAGACCTCCAAGGGATTTTCCAAATGCTATTTTTATGCTTTAGTTCATGAAATTCTTTCTCTATTCTTAAAAGATTGTCGTTATCACTAATCCGTTATATAATGTCCATTAACATATTCTAATTATCCCAGCACTTGATCTAGTTCTAAACTAATTCCCTTGATCCCAAGACTGTCAATATCCCTTAAATAACGTTTGATAGCAATGTTTGTATATAACCACAGGCCTTTAAACTGTTACCTAATTTAGCATTCAATCATTTCATGTTTTGGTCTTTGCTTCTCGGCCTTTTGGCTAAGATCAATGTGAAGTAAGAGATGGCAATTTCAATTTTGATAAGTGTTTTTAATTAGGACACGTAAAAATTGTAGAAAAAAAATCGGATGAAAGATGGGATTTAAAAAGTCGAGGAAAAGGTTATTCAAACAAACTATTCTGACCAGAGTACGTTATTGTGTCTGTCATGCATTTTTGAAGATTTTTTTTTCATAATGTTTGCAGAAAAGTATACGTATACATTAAGATAGTTAAGCCTACTTGGTGCTGCTGTACTAGGAATTGCGGAAAACGTTGCACTGAAAAATTATATACGTAAACAGCCCTAGGGAAAATGCAAAAGCTTTTATTAGTATCTATCTCTTTTAAATAAATATCAAAACAGGGTACTATGATAGACTCAGTTCCTCATATCAGGCTTCGGGGCCACCAACGCTGAGATTTTCTCAGATCTGAGATTTCTCAGAAAATTTGAGTTTTTCTCACCAAGCTGTGCCACCAAGCAAATGTTTTTTTTCAAACTCAGACTAGTCTTTTGAGTTTTTTCTCAAATCTGAGATTTTTTCTCAAGTCTGAGATTTTTCTCAAACATGCGTGCCACCAACGTTTTTTCCGACTCAGCTGAGAAAAAAAATCTGAGATTTCTCAGAAAATCTTGAGATTGATGTATACCATGCAGTCTCGAAGAAAATCTCAAAGAATTATTTTATGGTAAAATAATCGCAATTGTTATGACAGTGAACATTTTAATCGATGAATACACGAAAATACAGTCACAGAATAATGTTCATTTCTCCCAAAACTTGATCCTCCTGCGAAGAGGGGGTGTCTTAATTATACACATGTAAACTATTCTTATTATAATATTGTCCACATATGGAATCAAGCACTTTACTAAAAGCATAAAAAAATAAAGAATAAAAGGAATATAATTATTCCAGTGGCAAGTTATACGTAACATTTATATCTTCATTCATATAGAAATTAATATAATTAATTAAATTCATATTTTTATGTGCTATTTGTGGCATGACATTTTTTATTATATGTAATTCACAATGTTCTTGTATATCAAAAGGAAATATGACTAGATAAAATACAAAACCTCCTCGGCCCCCTCTTTGTTTTTTCCCAGTAGTTATATTTTACTGTTTATAATTGTAAATTTTACGCAAATATAAAAAGAAATCTGTCTAACATTTCATGTACAAATATTTCTGTTCTTTGGAAATAAATTGTACATTTTGTAAATCACCATTTATTAATCACTGATGATAGCAGTCTGTCTAATTTGGTTCTTAACTAAATCTATAAAATTCTTAATTGAGAATTTGGATCGAATTTATACTCTCAATGCATTGTGCATAAACTTAAATCCTTGACCGTTTATAGCATTTATAAGAATAAATTCGTCTTATGTCCATTCTGAGATACATAATTCACAACAAGAACTGCATCTATTCAAATATACTTGCATGGATTTTTTTAAACAAACAGCATTTATTTTAAATTGACAACTTACATTTTGCCCCCCCCCCCCCCCCCCCACACACACACACACAAAAAAGTATGATCCTTTGTTTTAAAAAAAAAATAACATCATTGCGCTGTGAAACTTTTATTTACGATAAGATAATAGAAATTAATCAAATTCGCACATGCGAGATTGACTTGCAATTGGGTTTCCAATGTAACGATGATTATTTGTCAAGTGGTGGTATATTCGTTGTTAATTATTTATCTAAAAATAACACAAAATAAAGATTTTCCGAGACATTTTGTCACAGGAGATCATAGAAAAATGCGATGTGTTAGTTTGCCTCTTCCCTATTCCTGCCCTTAGTTCAAATTTTAGCCGTTTTTTCTTCCTGGGGGGGGGGGGGGGGACTGAAATTCCCCGACAATTAAACAGTTCCTCGAGAAACTTCCTTGATAAATGATCCTGTAAAACTAAGTATACGTATGTTACCCGCTCAAGTTCGCTGTTCATCTTATCACATTTATCCACACTTATGGAAAACTCACAAAATTTATTACAGCATGTGAGAAATTTAGCTATATATATCGAATATCGAACTTTTTTTCTTTTTATGGATCTGCTAGAAAAAAAAAATCACTCAGGTTTATTCTAAATACAAATAGTCCTTATAACTCAAATAATTTTTTTTTCAATGGAGAATTAAAAATAATACAGATGTACCATGTACCATGATATCTAACATATAACAAAAGAAAGAAAAATGTGTTTCATCAAAATGATTTATTTTAATCGGTTTGGGAAATATAGTGATCCGCCTACCTGCTACACGTAACGTCACAATGGCGGAAGTGTCGCCTCGGTGTATGTTTTCGTGTGTTTATGTCGACAGACGAACCAAGACAACAAAATTTGGATATTTTTTTGTGTTATTCTTCTCTAGGGATTATTTTACGTGGGTTAGATGAACATTTATTGTCGCAAATGTCGTAATGGAATACTTTCTGTTGAATGACTCGAAACAGCAAATAAAAGACGAAGGAAGTGGGGGATGTGTTTTTATCGCGATCTACACGAAAATATTGCATAAACAACTGAATAAAAGGCAAATTCAATCATTGAATCAACATATTAGTGCATTTTTTTGAAAAAAGGTCGCACATAGCAACGAAAATAAGTCTAAGATTTTTCTCAAATCTCAGCTTACTTGAGACGAATCTCAAAAATGTTGGTGGCACGGTGTTTTAGGAAAATCTCACATGAGGCAACAATCTAAGATTTGAGGTTGAGATTTGAGCTGAGATTTTTATAAGTTGGTGGCCCCGAAGCCAGTACTCGCTACACCTTAAACTCCGTTAGTATTTGAGTACGAGAGAGTCTACAAGTAGTTCCGTTTTAATGCCTGTTACAGAATGCAAGATATCATAATTCGTTTTGTTAACTTATTACTTACAATTTGATTTTTAACTTCGGGATCTTTGTACACCTTTGTATGTGAGAGGGCATAAACCAAGGAGGACAACTCCTACAAACACTGTTACGGTATAAATATCCATCTCATGAAAAAAATAGATAAATTAAGAAAGAAATAGATGTCAGAAATGTTTTATTTACATACATCCTGTTAGCTACAGAAACTGATCTGATATAGCAAAAAATGATAATAAATATCTTCACATTTTACATGGAAAACTAAGAGATGATTAAAAATGATTAGCATGATCAAGAATAATTTATCCATATTTTTCAAGACATCAAACAAAGAAGGGTAATGTATACGCATAACTTAATCGTTGTTACTCCGTTTATGAATTAAAAAGAAATTTCAGAAATCACAGTATTGTTGAGTATTGTTCACCGGTAAAAAGTAGTCAGTAATATATAGAACAAATAACACAAAATTATGGAACGTTCGTCATATGCAATTAAACTCTAAACAATATCTTTAAGGAATGTCCACTGGGCCACCCTCATTATGCGTTATAGTGCACCCCTCGCAGCCAGTTTCTGGAACAGATCTCGCATGGAGTGCTCGATTGAGCCGTCCCTGCTCTGTTTTACTGCCGTCGCTGTTTCCCCTGTAGCCTGGTCCACACAGATTCCTATGTACTTCCACTCAAACCCCATGATCTGTCCTTTAAAGGACCACTTGACGATCTTTCCGTTCCCTCGATCAAACTGTTATAACAAAATACACATTCATAAATATCGAATACATGTATTGAAGAGTTAATTAATTTTTCTTTATTTCATCATTATTATTTTTTTTTGGGGGGGGGGGTTAGATAATGGAGATTATTTCTTTTAGTTCTTTGATAGAATTTTTCATTATATTCTGTAATAATATACATGTATGTCTCTATGATATATGTATCAGGTGCATTTTTCTTCAATTCCTCTTCCATGTACTTATACCAGGCATATCATCGTTATTTAAAACTGAAAAGATCACAAATATTTAAATATACAGATATATTTACCTGTCCTTCCCCATTTGTTCCTAAAGCACCTGCCAAGCTCTGGGCCCCGCTCAAGAAGCTTCCAAGTTTGTCCATTGCGTCTATTACATGTAACAGAGACATCATTAAGGAAATAAGTTAAAATTAAATTCTAGTTTTCCAATGGATTTTTTTTTTTTATTAAAAAGGCTCTTTTATAGAAATGTTCACATTTCAGCAACCCTCCAACCCATCCCTCTGTTCTTTTAAAGTATAAATATTTTCTACATACAGTCTCTACCCCCAACCCATACGCAACAATTTTGAATTATATTTTTAAGGTTATTATGGCTTTAACTGAAATTTTTTTTGAGGGGGAGGGGGGTGGGGTGTTTGCGACCCCCTCCCCCCGTCGCCCGCATGGCATAGAGGTTAGAGTGTTTACTCTAGACCCGCTCAGGAGTCGATCATCCATGCACTGTGCGACGTGGAGACGGGTCTTTCGGATGAGACCGTATAAAACGAGTCTCATGTTGCAGTAGGTGCTGGCACGAAAAAGATTCCTCACAGCTCAAATGCCCCGAGTGCCTAGAAAATTATCGAATGGGACTGACCTTTAACAAAAAGAAACAAACAGACCCCCCCCCCCCCCCCGCCATTTAAAAAAAGAAGCGATTAACTGGTATGCTTATCTTAGGAAATTTGAAATTTTTCGTGACGGATATTGAGGGTAACCAGACTGAATTATTAATGTATATTTTTCGTTAGAGATATTTATCGAGAGGACTATACTCCTGTATACCCTTTTATAAAGATTTTGACACTATAGATTTTTTTTTTTTTTTTTTTTTTTTTTTTTTTTGGTAACAAATTACCCCTCTACAACCTTAATAACGTGTTTAATAATTAAACTCTCAAAAAAGAATGTCAAATAAACATTCTATTGAAAATTGTGATTTTATCATTGTCATTTGATTATTAAACTAAATGTACAAATAATCACATATTTGAAAAGAAAAAAAAAGAAATTTAAAGATTAATATAGTACATTACTGACCTGTATTATAGTCAAGTTTTAAACACTGGATATGCTACGGCTATCTGAGAGTCAGGCTTTAGTGGTCATCTTCGGGGCCCTATTTATATACTTGGTCAGTGTGGTATTTTCCGAATGCTATTTAAAGATCTTCGGACAGCATGATGCGTCGGGGAATTATAATGCCTATTTTTAGACTTTTTCACGGATGGGCTCTCGTGGTCAGTGCTCTGGGATAAAGCGAAAGCAAATATAGTTGTAAATGGATTTTTTCAAATTTTATAATGGCCATTTTTTAAAAGATAATTGTCGTCAATGCAATTAAAAATTGAAATAAAAAAAAAAAAACACAGATGAGGAAGTGTTTTGCTTTGTTTTGTTTTGCACTGTATTTGTATTCTATTTCTTTCTTTCTTTATTAATCAATTTGTTTATTATTGTACTTTTGTTTCACTGTTATTTTTTTTTTCTTTTGAGAACAAACTATTACAAAGGCCGGTAGTTAGGTTATTATCCTGTCTATTCATGACTTTATCGAGGAATTTTAAATACATAACTAGCATTCAGTTTTTGTAATCGTTATTCAAAATTAACATACACCTTAATCCTTGGATTTCAAATAAATTTATTTAAAGTTATATAATTAACATCACTGAATTAAATAAAATATTAATATTCATTTTTTTTCTGTTTGTATGTAGGTATTATACAAGCCTTTATCGCGTCTTTATTGTCCAGATAAACACAAAAGTCTCAATGTATAAAAAGCAGAGCAAATGTTAAAATCAGTTTGTTCTTAATTTTAAAGGACGCGTGACTAGTTTTAAAAAAATACAGAAATAGCATGATAAATTTTAACATTTTTACAGTTCATTCAGTGATTTGCATTGATAGACTTCTTTCGGACTTTATTCGTTAAAACAACCAGTACAGTGCCACCAACCCCAACCTACCCCACCCCTTATGCTTCAGGGAATGACAAATACACTATTATGTAGTCGTACATCTTTCAGGCGAGACGCTGCACGTTTTATTTGTTCTTTTTTTAAACTTACATTTCTCGAGATAACGACCCCCCCTCCCCCGCCCCTTTTAAAATCTTTCCATCCAGTCTGAAAAAGTACACACCTTCCTGGCTTTTTTTTTTTTAAAGTGATTTGAAAAGTTGTCGCATTTATCTCCCTTTCACTGTCTTTCTCACACATGCAGGTACATGTAAGATTGAGGGACTTGGAAGTGAAGTAGGTGGAAGGGGGATTCATATTTTGACAAAAATCCAATCGATAGTCTCTCGTCTCCTTGCGACATATGTGCATTGTAAACTGCTCTTTTTATTTATTTATATTTATTTTTTTTATTATTTCAAAGATTAGTCTCTCATACATGTACAATAAACAATACAGTGGGAAAAGCTTATCCACTAGAGAACTCCTAAAAGAGGGTTTTTTGATAATTTGAGTACAAAGCACTGACTTTATGTTAAAAGATGTCGCAGATACAATCTAAGTATCAATAGTCTTCATGCTTCCTCTTTCCAGCAAAAATTTAATTGAACAGTAACCGAGAAACTATACATGTAACTTCACACATGTATGTGTTAAAATTGTTTTTATTAAGGCTTGATAGATTTCAAGGTGGTATATACAAACGCCAAAATTTGACGAGCAAAACATCGGTTGAGACCAAGTAAAAATTACATGCATTAGCAAAATTACCAAGTCTAAACTTACACTTATCTTACAAGTTTGGTAACTATAACCAATTGCAAACATAATAAGTGGTATAATATATCACAATTACAACACGTACAATATTCCAAAATATTATATTAATTTGTAGGCAAACAGACATGACTAGAAAAATCATTGTAAGTGGCAGAAGGAGACGTCCAAAGGCTCCAAAAGTTGAGGAGATTTGCAAAACCTTTTGAAACTATCTTTAATGATCGAATAACTTTTCACTTTTATTTTCGAATATCTTCTAGTTAAAATTTATTTACAACTGTTTATTCTTTGTAAAAAAAAAAAAAAACTGGGTCAAGGTTAGGCTGAAATATTTCATTCATAAATTTCTTTGTAAATCAGGGGGTTTAAAGTGAGTCATTGTATAAAGTGTGCTATCAAAGATCGGATATCTGAGCGGTTTGTTTTGGGTGGTTTCTTTTTTTCCTTTTAAATCGATTTTTTAATCTTAATGCTATTTTAAAGCTTGTATTGTTACTAAACACGAATTTCAAAAAGAAAGAAGACAAATGAAGGCATATCGTTGATTCAGGAAATAAACTTGGCGTTTCTTTATACTGGCGCGAAATACTAATGTACATTAAAATTTAAATTTATGTATGTGAATAATACTGTATTTAAGGAATAACTGTCTAATTTTTTGGATTCATGATGTGATCAATCGAGTGGCTTGCGTGATAATTTGCATAAACGCCGAAGGCGTTTATGCATAAAATTATCACGCAAGCCAATCGATTGATCATCGTCATGAATCCAAAAAATCTGACAGTTATTCCTTATATTTACATGCTCCTGATTCTGCAAATTCCCGTGCCAATAGCCCCGCTTCTGTCTCTATTTGTCCCGCCCCGCACGTGATTTTTTTTAACCGCGCCTATCGATGAACCAGTAGATTTATGTAGAAATAAAGTATTTTTACAATTTGTAATTTTATCTCAGACAAAGACATTGGAAATGTAAATATTTTGCTATCAATGTAACTGTAATTTCTATGCATACACCAAATGTACCTATTCCAGATCTATCGCTCTACGAATCCCGGGGTCTGGAAAAGCATGGCCGGGAATGGCTAGGAAAAAACTTGGCCATTTATTTTTTAAAAGTTGGTTTACAGATCTGCCAAGCCCATTTTTTTTTAAACAAAAGGGGAAAAAAAAAATTGATCAATAGAAAACCCTACAGGATCGATGTAGGATGGGTCGACGTAATGGAGGGTTCGGACAATAATTTACTTCAACCTTCATTTCAACCATCGTGAGCCATAGCAATCTTAGATGGCTATCATTAAATCAAAACATGGGCAATATATTGGGGACATTATAACGGAACACATCACAAGCCATGCTGTAACCGTGAAAAAAAAATTGTTGCTGATAAGCATACAACTTCAACACTATATATAAAGATCTCAAATTATTCTACAAGTATATCACAAGTGAAGTAAACACAATTTCAATTTATTTATCCCTCAAATCATTCAAAAACAAATTTTATTTTTATTTGTAGGCAAAGTCCGTAGTTTTATTGTCTGCAGTGATGGTGGAAGAAGGAGAGTCGTTTACTGCAAGGAGAGGCTCTCCACTCCCCATGTGTCGTTCTTTAGACAGAGTCCAGGAGAAATTGATTACATATGTGGATCACCACTTTTTCCTGAAGGCCATGAATTTTGCAAGGCGCTGATTTTAAGGGAGGGTTTGGACTGTGAAACCCCCACACAAACTATTTCCTATGCATGTGAAATTTATAACCGGTTTTAAAATATTTGAATACAAATTTGGACCGAAAGGATTTTTTTTTTTTTTTTTAAGAATCAGCATGACTGAATGCTTGGAAATCAACTTTTGTAGGTGTTGCTCAGAGGTTTGCTTCTATATGCGCCAACTATGGGGATTCAGAACTGAATGACAATCACTCCCACTGTGCTGGAGAAGAATCAGCAATTTTCGATTGCGTGGCTAATCCTTAACATTTGCATCACTGCTGGAAAGCAGCCTTCGTGCAGAAAAGCGTTGAAAGTGGGGGGAGGGGGGCAAAAGAATATAAATATATGAAAATTGATAATAAAGTGTGTAACTCAAATCAAATTCTTCACTTTTTATTACCAGTGCCGGTACTCTAGTTTTCCCCCCTCTACATTGTTCCCAACGGATTTTGAAATTTTGAAATCCGTAAACCAATTAAAAAAAAAAAAATGGTCCTAGTGTCATGTCTGTACTTACATGTAACAACATTTATTTAAAAAAAAAAAATCTGGACAGTGTTCTAAGAAACAATCATTATTATCACCTTATATCTAAATGATATTTTAAGAATCTAATTCATAGGAGAGTACACAAAACG